GTGGGAGGATGGGTTAGCCTGGTGATGGGTATTAAGGAGGGCACGTTCTGCATGGAGCACTGGGTGTTATATGCAAATAATCATGGAACACTATATCAAAAACTAATGATGTAATGTATGGTGATTAACAAAACATAATAAAAAAGAAATCATTCACCACAAATAAGTGAGATTTATTCCTGGGTTGCAAGGGTGGTTCAATATTCGCAAATCAATCAACATGATGCATCACATCAACAAGAGAAAGGAGAAGAACCCTATGATCATTCCAATAGATACAGAAAAATCATTTGACAAAGTACAACATCCTTTCATGATAAAATTCTTCAACAAAGTAGGCTTAGAGGGAATATATCTCAACATAATAAAGGCCATCTATGAAAGACCCAAAGCTCACATCATCCTCAATGGGGGAAAACTGAGAGCTTTTCCTCTAAGGTCAAGAATATGTCAAGGATGTCCAGTCTCGCTACTTTTATCCAACATAGAACTGGAAGTCCCTGCCATAGCAGTCAGACAACAAAAAGAAATAAAATGCATCCAAATCAGTAAGGAAGAATTAAAACTTTAATTATTTGTAGATGACATAATACTATATATAGAAAACCCGAAAGACTCCACCAAAAAAACCTGCTAGAACTGACAAACCAACTCAGTAAAGTCTCAGGATATAACTCAATGCACAGAAATCTGTTGCATTTCTATATACCAGTAATGAAGCAGCAGAAAAAGAAATCAAGGAATCGATCCCATTTACAATTGCACTGAAATCCTTAAGGTACTAGGAATAAACCTAACCAAAGAGGTAAAAGATCTGTACTCTGAAAACACTTATAAAAGAAATTGAAGAGGACACAAAGAAATGGAAAAACATTCCATGTTTATGGCTTGGAAGAACAAACATTGTTAAAATGTCTATATGACTCAAAGCAATCTATACATTTAATGCAATCTCTATCAAAATACCACCAGCATTTTTCACAGAGCTAGAACAAACAATCCTAAAATTTGTATGGAACCACAAAAGACCCCAAATAGCCAAAGCAATATTGAAAAAGAAAAGCAAAGCTGGAGGCATCATGATTCTGGACTTCAAGCTATATACAAAGCTGTAGTCATCAAGACAGTATGGTACTGGCACAAAAACAGACACATAGATCAATGGAACAGAATAGAAAACCCAGAAATAGACCCACAACTCTATGGTCAACTAATCTTCGACAAAGCAGGACAGAATATCCAATGGAAACAAGACAGTCTCTTCAACAAATGGTGTTGGGAAAACTGGACAGCAACATGCACAAGAATGAAACTAGGCCACTTTCTCACACCATACACAAAAATAAACTCAAAATGGATGAAAGACCTAAATATGAGACAGGAATCCATCAACATCCTAAGGGAGAACACAGGCAGCAACCTCTTTGACCTCAGCTGAGGCAATTTCCTACTAGACACGTCATCAGAGGTAAGGGAAACAAAAGCAAAAATGAACTATTGGGACTTCATCAGGATAAAAACTTCTGCACAGTGAAGGAAACAAACAAAACTGTTGGCAACCTGCAGAATGGGAGAAGATATTTGCAAATGACATATCTGATAAAGGGTTAGTATCCAAAATATATAAAGAACTTATAAAACTCAACAACCAGAAGACAAATAATCCAGTTAAGAAATGGGCAGAAGATCAGAAAAGATGAATACCCAACTTTTACATCAACATGGATGGGACTGGAGGAGATTATGCTAAGTGAAATAAGTCAAGCAGAGAAAGTCAATTATCATATGGTTTCACTTATTTGTGGAACATAAGGAATAACATGGAGGACATTAGGAGAAGAAAGGGAAAAATGGGGAGGGGGAATTGGAAGGAGAGATGAACCATGAGAGACTATGGACTCTGAGAAACAAACAGGGTTTTAGAGGGGAGGGGGGAGGGGGGATTGGTTAGCCCCGTGATGGGTATTAAGGAGGGCACGTACTGCATGGAGCACTGGGTGTTATACGAAAACAATGGATCGTGGATCACCACACAAAAACCAATGATGTACTGTATGGTGACTAACATAACATAATAAAATTTAAAAAAAGAAATGGGCAGAAGACATGAATCGACATGTTTCCAAAGAAGACATACAGATGGCCAACAGACACATGAAAAGATGCTCAACATCACTCATCATCAGGGAAATACAAATCAAAACTAGGATAAGATGCTACCTTGCACCTGTCAGAATGGCTAAAATCAACAACACAGGAAACAACAGATGTTGGCGAGGATATGGAGAAAGGGGAACCTTCTTAAGCTGTTGGCAGGAATGCAAACTGGTGCAGCCATACTGGAAAACAGTTTGAAGGTTCCTCAAAAGTTAAAAATAGAACTACCCTATGACCCAGCAATTGCACTAGTAGGTATTTATCCAAAGGATACAAAAATAGTGATTTGAATGGGCACATGTACCCCACTATTTATAGCAGCATTATCAACAATAGCCAAACTACGGAAAGAGCCCAAATGTCCGTCGACTGATAAATGGATAAAGAAGATTTGGTATATAGATATACAATGGAATATCACTCAGCCATCAAAAAGAATGAAATCTTGCCATTTTCAATGACGTGGATGGAGCTACACTGTATTATGCTAAGCAAAATAAGTCAGTCAGAGAAAGACAAATACCATATAATTTCACTCATGTGGAATTTAAGAAGCAAAACAGATGAACATACGGGAAGGGAAAAAGAGAGAGAGAGATTGAGGGAAGAAAACCAGGAGAGACTCTTAATAACAGAGAACAAACTGAAAGTTGATGGAGGGAGGTGAGTGCAGATGGGCTAAGTAGGTGATGGGTATTAAGGAGGACACTTGTTACGATGAGCACTGGGTATTATATGTAAGTGATGAATCAATCAATCAATCAATCAATCAACCGATAATTCCTTCCTACCCAGATGTCATTCAGGTATTTTCCTATATTTTCTTCCAAATGTTTTTTAGGTCTTTAATCCATCTGTATTGATTTTATGCTTGGTGTGAGGTAGGGGTTCAATTTTAATTATTTTCACATTAAAATTACTAAGTATCCCATTACCATTTACTGAAAGTCTGCTCTTTCCCTTCTAATCTATAGTACTTGCTATATCAATTAATGTGCATATGTGCATGGGTCAATTTCTGTTGCATGTCTTCATATACATGGTTTTTGATGAAAAAAGTTATACAAACCTAAATTTGTTGTCAAAAAAATCTCATTTCATTAACATATAAAAAATGTTACTTTTGACTTGATATATTGTTAATCTGTGATAGATCTGCCGTCATTCATTAGCCCAAATTTCTCTGATTAATCATATCAAGAAAACTAAAACCTTAAAGCCAAACTTCAACAAGTCTATTTCTAAATATTTTTAGAATGGGCTATAAACCTGAGTCTTCTTAATATTTAGTCCCTCTTTTCTGGTATTTATCTCTCCACTTCAGATACTTAATCCCTACTACAGACAGAGCCTTTTTATCTCTTAAATAAGGTTTTGCATGGCTTTTGTCCATTATGTAATACAATAAAAAAAGAAACATCAAAAATAGTCATACCAAAAATTTTATCTATTGAAGCATTTGAAGGCAATGTGCAATTAAACACAGTAAACTGTCTTTTTAAACGTTGGGGAATATCATTTCGACCACCTCCAGGGTGGATCATTGCTGCTATGATCTGTACATCAACAATAGTAGTGAAGTCTCCAGGCTTATCCAAGCTATACATTCCTTCCATTTCCATCATTTGTCGCACAATCTCATTAGTTATCTGGAATTTTATACAGTGATACTTTAGTAACATATCACTATCATATTCCTCCACAACTCCTATAAAATAGTACACTTGGGATTAGAAGAAAATATTCAACTCTTGTCAATGAAGTGTTTGTGAATGTTGGTGGTCACCTGCAAGGCAATTTGATTTAAATGCTACCACTCATGAACAAAACCATAAGCTAAACATCTGGATTGAGTCCAGTGTGCTCTTTACCACGTTGATAAAATGGATCTCCAAAGAAATTTAAATAGGTGAGTTACAGAATAGTTGGCACAATTACAACAGTAGTCAGAGTTATAAGTATCAACATTCAACACTTCAAACTACTTTAAATCAGAATGTGGGATGGTTTTACTCCTGAGCCTTCAATACTACTGAATGTTTTGGGTTTGGGCTTTATGTTCTTATCTTTCTTTTCTGCAGCCTCTAACACTGCTAACACTCCCTCCTCATTGAAAACTTTTCCTCTTTTGAATTCAGAGGCCCATTTCTTTCCAGGTTCATCTTGTGACTCTGGATCACTTCCTAAGCCACTCTTTCTCCACCCATCCCTCACATGTAACTGTTCTATAGGGTTCTATCATTGACTCTCGTCTTGCTATTTCAAGGGCCATGCAGAGTTGCTTGAGGAATAGTCTTAGGGTGAGCATGTAGGAGTCCTGACTTCCTACAGGTATCTGAGGTGAACTCAGATAAAAGGCCAGATGGGATGGGTCCTGACAGGCTCTAGGTAGACATTACTGATGAGGCAGTGGGCAGTGGTGGGAGGTAGGTGTTGGGAATCCCACGAGGAATGTGCAGAATTCCGAAAGCATCAGTGAGGTTCTCTGATGGAGAATGACTCTGGGGTTGACAGATGATCATCACAAGGAAGACATGTGTGTGATAGAGTTAAAAAGAAAAAAAAAAGTGTTTTCTAAATCAAGTATTCCTCAGAGGGAGTATATAGAGTAAGAAGTAACAGAAGTAAAACCCTGGAGAAAGGAAGAGAGGAGCCAGAAAGGGTGCCGAAATCAAGAAGCCTGAAGGCAGGAAGGAGTATTGCTGAAAAACACAGGGCTTTCAAGAAGGGAGAATGCCAGCTATTAAGAGAGAAGCCAAAAAGACCGAATTGCTACTAGGCTTCATAAGACAAAGGCTATTGACACCTTTATATATAACTAAAAATACTGATTAAATATCATTTATAGGAGATATTTCAGTCATACCTGATCTCCCCATTCATTAATCACAGGCATATTAATATCATCAATAAATACAGTCATTTTCCTGCCTCCTGGTGGCCCATATGTGCTTCCCATTCGCTTATCCACATAGCTTTCCATTGTTCTCTAGAGAAGAGGAGATGTTTCTCTTAAGTGTTAGATTTCAACTCATATTCCTAGAAATGATGAGCATGTCTTTCAGAGGAAAACTGAGTTATTTAATATGCATAAATATCATTATTAAAATAGACATTGTAATATTGCAAAAAATGAGTTATTAGAATGTTAATCATTAATTTTATACACAAAGTTCAGCTTCAGCCTCAATATTAGGTCAAAATCTGATGTTTGGATTTGGCCTAGGAAAGCTAATAGCTGAATGCCAAGTGCAACCCCACTTCCTATTAACACACACACACGCACACATCAGATTTTATATGCATACACATTTTACTGTAACCAGCACTCAAAACATTTAAGATGTCGATTACCTCAGCAAATGATGGGTTTTACCTGAAACATTATGGGTTCTGTGGCAGATGAAAAATTTAGACTTTTGGATAACTGTACTTCAGGATCATATTTTTTCAAATAGGCCTTAACCATTACAGTTTTGGCTGTTCCCTGCTCTCCTGTGAGCAAAACGGCCTGCAATAATCAGGTAATCATGTGGAAAGGGGTTAGCTTTAAATATCTTATGGTTCTGGTAGCTATTTTTTCATTGCAATGATTAATACAACTAATTTTAATTACTTTTTAGAATTAGACCCACATCAAAATAAAATCCTAAAAATAAATAAATAATCAATCAATCCTAGTTCAATTAAAGATTTGAATATAAAAGGTGTACTATAAACTGTGCTAGAAGAAAGTATGGGTAAATACTCATGTGACCATGGGAGTAGGGAGGGACTCTGTGAGCAGACACCCACCTCTCTTAGCAAGCTGGAAGTCAGCAGTTCAGGGGATATTGAGTTGGAATGTATCCTGGGGTTCATTTGCCAAATGTGTTTCCCTTAAATGGCATTACCTCCAGCCTCTTGTGCTGGAATTTAATTTTTCTATCTGTAGTGTGTGAAAAGGCATGTGTTTTGTATAAGTTTGTGATCAGCTAAGAAACTATCGAACTTACTTTCTGTTGTTTTGCAATGGTGTCTATCAAAAAATTTGTTCTAACATTGTCAACATTTGGAACCAAAATGGATGAATATTCTGGAATACTGTCAGTTGGATAATAATATGGCTGAAGTTTCTTATTCCAGTGTTCCCAATCTCCTACACAATAAGTAAAAATTCATCTTAATAAAACTGCATTCTTTGAAAGTTATCTCAAAATATAAGAAGACAAATGCTATAAACAACCAACAGAATCATATGAACATTTAAAACATTTTCCAAAAATATGTTAACATACCGGCTTATCTAATATATATGGCATTTGATCATTTAAATCTGTTTTGCCTCTTTGTAAGGTCAGTTTTTAAATTTCTAAATCATTCATCTAGAGAGATCTGGCCTGAAATGGAATTAGAATTAGTGGTAAAAACCAATGACATATTTAGTATCTGGTAAGAAACCCACAGCAACTGAAAGGATGGGAAAGACCAAAAGGGGGTAACTGATGAGTGGACATAGAATGTTTGCCATGGGAAATGGGTAAAATAAATCTAGCCCTAAAATAGTTAATAAAGTACTCAGGCTCCTGACTACTAATTTATTAACTGATATAACTAATAATTTACTGTCTGATATTATTGGCATAATAATTATTATTACCACATTTCATCAATTCTAAAAAAAAATTATTTATATTTTAGCATATCTGGAATGTGCCTTACAATCTATGAAGTCTTGTAAGCACTACTGGCTAGGCAAACTTGATCAGAGATGCTCATATTGCTACCATTTAAAATTAGATTACTTGCATTGTTGGTATTGCTTTGTTCATTTTAACTGACATTTTAAATGTCTCCAGAAATATTATACGGTGATTCAGGATTGTACCAAAAAAAGCTACTGTGCACACAGAATGCATGAAAACAGCGAAGGAGCACACATTTGAGAGTAGCAAAGAAAATATTCAGCACTAGAGGAATAAACTCAATTTCAAATTTCCTTGCAAAATATCAAGTCATATGTTAAGTGTATGTTTAACTTTCAAGAAACTGAGAAACTGTTTTCCAAAGTGGCTATACCATTGTGTACTATATGAGAGTTCCAATTGTTCCATGTTCTCACCCACATTTGGTAGAACTAATCTTTTCATTTTAGTCATTCTAGTGGCTATGTAATGATATCCCATTACAGTTTCAATTTGCATTTCCTTGATAATGATGTGGAATGTCTTTTCATGCACTTCTTTCACCATTTATAAATCTTCCTTGGTAAAGCATGTATTTAAATTTATTGCCCATTTGGCTATTCAGAGTC